GACTGCACCTACCATTTCCAACCTCCTGCTTCAAATTCGGGGCCCGTTATCCTTTTATCTAAACTTCGCCAGCTAGTGATGTGCCATGTGTGGTACTGGAAATCTTCTATCTCATAACCAGGATCGGGCATAATTTTGTTGGCCATAGTATCATCTATGAAAAGGATGTAAGTTAAACACTTTAAATATCACAGAATAATATTGATCTTTTTTTTTTTTTTATTAAAAAAAAAAAAGGGTAAAGCACGCGAGTAATGTTTTATAGGAAGCTTGTTACGCCTCAGAATGGTGCAAGCCTCTTAAATCAAACAGAAAAACATACAATCAGTTACAGTCAAAGGTGTAGTTTCTTCGACGTCAGACATAGGCCTATCTCCATCGATAGGTGTTGCTGATTCACCAGACATATCCATATTTTCATCCTAAAATATCAATAAGCGTGAAAATATTGACATTAATATTAGTGACCAAATCTTTATTTTTAAGCATAAATTACAAGGTCATTATCACAATTGAACAAAGGAGCGGGTATAAAACGATCCAAAAAGTCCATTTGAACTACCAGCTTTGAAAAAAAAATAAGCTATGCAATAAAGCCTAAGAACAGGAAAGTTGTACCCATAACCTGTGCTCGACTAAAAAAAAAAAAAAAAAAAAAGCCCCAAAATTTAAAAATATAGGAAAGTACCATGCTGAAGTCTGCGGGTATTAATCTTGTGAGGTAAGATAAGGCTACTAAAAAGCAGACGAGCAGGAAGGGTTGTAAAAAAATCTCGGGGATTATGAAGTCAATGTTGATCGATTTGTTTTTGGTGAAAAAAAGATAATGTATTGGATTCTTAAAGATTGAAAATCAAAAAATCGTAAAGACTTATGACACCATGGAACAGTGAGAATCGTTAAAGTTACCGATTTGCACCTTAAGTATAAATTGCTGCTCTTGTACTCTAGTACTAAGGTAAGAAGTAAAACTACAGAGAACGTTCACGCAAGCTATTCCAGTATTCACCTGAGTATAATCACTGTGTGTCACGTACGTACGTAACTACCCCCAAGAACACCCCGAGGAATTCTACGCAACAGCCAATCAGATTGCAAGATCAAATGTAACACAAAAATCGGAAAGTTCATATAACCGAGGTTAGGACCAAAACCAAACGTGCACACAGAGCTAAGTATAGGTGAGCTACCAACATTTTTTACATTCTTAAATTTCACATTACACTTGATCTTGCAATCTAATTGGCTGCATAGAATTTTTTGGGGTGTTCTTGGAGTAGTTATCAGTTATACACGTAAGTACGTTCGTACGTACGTGATCTCATGGAGATTTTTATTACGAATACAAAAAAAAACCCCAAATTAGATTGATTTAGGTAGCGTTCCCACAAAAAATTGGTCATCCCCGGTGATTTTGACCAATCAAAATTTAAGACCAGGTGTCAAAACAAGCGTGTTTTGTTTTCTAAGTAAAAAAAGTTACGTGTTATAGTTAGGGTTAGGAATAGCAGAATGTGTTTTTTCGATTTTTACGTTACACCTGATCCTGAGATTCGATTGGTCAAAATTACAGGGGGTGGGAGAGCTTTTGGGCAGTTCTAGTATTTACTGTGATTGGCTAATTTTTGTAGATCGTTTTGCAAAATTTTTCGTTAGTTCAAAATATTCGCTATGCAAAAATTCGCTATCTCGAGCGTTGACTGTATAACAGTGATGTCCACTGGAACTGGAGGGTCACTGGACTTAATTGGCTTCCAGTAATTAGATGTTACTGAACTGGGATAGCTGGTGAGAGACGATCTACAAACTTGATAAAAAATAAAATCACTTTGCAAATCGCGATAATTGATACGAATTGGAAATATACCGATAATTTGTGTCTATAATTTAACCTTTTATTACGGTTTGCAACGAGATTTTGTCAACGTTGTGGTGAGTTAATTACTTATAACTTTGGTTGTAAAGTGTAATATGAAGTTGTTGGATTAAAAGGGATTAAGCAAATATGTTGTAAGGCAAAGAAAGAATTTCATCTAATTTTTTTTTTTTTTTTTTTTTTTAAAGAGTGGGTGTTTTCTGCAGTAATTTTATGGTTACAATATTATACAATCAACTCTTTTCAATGATTCTTTGAACAATACAACAAAAAGCCAAATTACAAAAAAATATTATAGGAAAACCCAAAATAAATACTATTTTTAGTCCTGTCTTTAAGTAAACAATTGTTAATAAAGTCTAAAGACATGAAATACCAAGAAGTGGGCATAATTTGGATGATTTTTTTTGGAATCAAGTTTTTTTCATTTTATAGATTTCTCAAGATATTTGGTATCTAAACTAGAAGGTTTATTTTGAGAACTAAACTTACCTCTGAACAGGTTGTTGTTAACAAAGCTTAAAAAATATAAAATACTAAGAAGTAGGTATAATTTAAGTGGTTTTTTTTGAGGTCAAGTTTTGATTGTCTACAAGATAGATTTTTTAGAATATTCAGTATCTAAGCTAGAAGATTTATTCTAGAAGCAAGTAGTAGAACAGCTCTCATTAAGATAATATAATTTTAAAAATTTATTTATATGACTATAAAACATTCAAACTCTTTCTAACAATCCTCTGAACAATACAACAAAAATCGAATTACAGAAAAACGCTATAGACAGGTCCAAAAATATACTATTTGCAGTCCTGTTTTTGAGTAAACAGTTGTCAACAAAGTCTGTAGACGTAAAATACTAAGAAGCAAATATAACTTGGATAGTTTTTTTGGGGGTCAAGCTTTGCTAAGTAGTGGACTCCTCAAGATATTTAGCATCCAAACCAAAAGGATATTCTGGAACTGAACTTATCTCTGAACAGGTTGCTGTTGATGAAACTTGAAAAACATGAAATATCAAGGAGCAGGCATATTTTGAATGGTTTTCTTGAGGTCAAATTTTTGTACTTCTCTTGAAACAGACTCTCTGAAATATTTGGCATCCAAACTAGAAGGTTTATTTTAGAAGCAAGAGTGGACTGGCTCTTGTTGCAATAGTATAAGCTTGAAAATACAACTATACAACTGTAAAACTTACAGAAGAACCTCACACACTCTTGTTGACCCCCACTTTTTCTTTAGAGAAAATTTTGTAAAAAGTAGGCGATTTAGCTTACTTCTTCCAAAAAATTGACATATTGTTTACTTACCAAATTAGGTTGCATTGTTTACATTTATTACCTGTTACAACAAATACATGGATGCAGAGATATAGATAACTAGATTATGTGTCTCGAATGTAGTAACTTGGAAGAACAATACTCTGAGCCCAATAGTGTGAATTTCTGATCTCTCTATAGTATCGATATCGAAGAAACTTGTTCTCTTTTTTTGTTTTTTTTAGGTTTTAATTGATGATTCTCTAGTGAACTGATTAATTATTTTAGTATAACGCAATGCAGTTCTATATATAAATCTCTTAAGATAGAAATGTGGCGTTTGCACAAGGAAAACTTTTTTTCTTACTAAGTAAATCATCTTTGGGCTTCTAACAAAAGTTGTAGAGCTCATCAAGAAGTATCTAATGGTAGTAAGAACATTAAAATTAGCTTGGTGGTTCTTGAGAAATCTTTAAAAAACGTTTTGGTAACTATATAAAATCTTCTTTAAAAAAATCGATTTTCTTTAAAGAAATTT